CTCCCTCCCTCCCTTCCTTCCTTCCTTCCTTCCTACCTACCTTCCTTCCTTTTGATCCAAGATATGCTCTGGATCCACAAAGACAAATCCTTCACTCCATTTACATTTGCAGTTCACAAACACTTCTAAGGAATATTTGCTGCATTACAGTGCAGAAATTCAGATGTCCTTTCTTCTATCCAAAATGCATAACTTAAGAATATCATTCTTAACAGGATTGCATAACAGAGGCTTATGCAATCCTGATAAAATTAATATAGTTTCATTGGCACAACAATAATGATGATAAAAGTGTTCAAAACAATTTCTCAGTTGAGTTTCAATCAGACCCCTAGTGCTCAAATTGCACAAAAAATAGTTAACTTTCAAAACCATAATGAAATATCTAGTGGCTACTGATTTAGCAACACCAAATTTTGGATGAATTAAATCAGTAAAAGCCAAGATGAAAGAAATTGATCAATACATTTGGGAAGAGCAATCTGAACCTAGAATTACACAAAGCTTGTCAGATCTCCATTTGCTGCCCTTGGAGCTATGATTTCTGAAAAGCAATGGCACAATTTTCTGACATTTTGAAATGGGAAATGGATGAAAACTGTTGTATAAGCTCTAAAACAAGTTTATCACGAAAGCAAAATAAAAGCCCAGGCCCAGGCAAGTGATATGATTATGTGCACACTTTGCAAGGATGAGCCACCTTAAAAGCATCAAGCATGACCCTTGGCTACAAAAAGATTTCTTTCCAAAGTTAACAGTTCAGAATATTTTAAAAGAGCAGGAGAAAGCTCAATTATATAGATTATAAAGCTAAGTCAACTTGCAGGAACAATCTATGTTGGAAGGAATTCAAAAGATTTAAGAAAGATGAGTCCAAGCAATCACTTTTGGAAACAAAGGCTGAAAAGGAAATCAGAACGTTAGCATTTGAAGACCAAACACGAATGAGAAATCGCATTTTGCAGTATTTTTCTGAGTGATGTTGTATGTTTTTGCACTCCAATTTCGCACTATACATGCCAATGGCTATAAAAGTCAATTTCCCCCATTTCCAATCAAAAGAAGGACAGAGAATGATATCCAGCGCCACAAATTACTCCTGATCTTTAGTTTTCTTTCCTAGCCCGGTAATTCTCATTTTTTCTTTACCTAAAATTGCAGTGCATGTACAGAATTTGATGCTAGCTGGGAATGATGGCAATTATAGTCTCCAACTCATCTGAAGAATGGAAAATACATTGCACCATTCCAATTAATCTTGTCTGCTTACTTTTATGAAATTTGGGATTGGGGATGAAATGTGCAAATAAAATGATGACACAAATTTCACCCCTTGTATACTTGCAATGCAGGATCAAAAGTGATGGTGCTTGCTTTGTGATTTCATAACATTTTGTTATTCTGGTATCATTGTGGCTAGCTGCAGACACCTGTGTATTCAGCACAAATTTACTTCTGAACTGTTACCACTGGACTATCTTTGCCTACTCTAGTAGTTCTCATTCTGTTACAGTGGTAAATGTTAAACAAATGTTAAAGGATAAGGTGTTTTTTTTCACTTTAATGGAGCAGAGTTTCATCAAATATTTCCAAGCTTCTGTAAGCATAGCATAAAACCTTATTAGAATAGGAACATGAAGAAAGAGGGGAAAGGGATTAATTTATTTCCATATTGTTCCTTGTTTTCTACAGGCATAAACTACAGGATTAGAATATATGTATGTTGAACTGTTTATTTTACAGCACAAATTACTTTAAAAAAAATCTTCCCTGGGTATTATCTCTCTTTCTCTCTTGTGTTTTGTCTGTTTTGTTTTTGTTTTTTCTCAGATCCAAAGCTTTGTGCAATTCCCATGACTCCAAATGGACATCTTGACCCCAGTCTTCCTTGTCTAAACCAGCCTGGGGCAAGTGCTGGAATGATGAATCCATCCCTCAATACTCTGCCGTCAGATATCCTCATGGCCCTTGAATCTCGGAAAAACAGTGTGATGTCTTTAGTAAATGAATTTAAATCCATCTGCAACATACTTAAGTTAACAGTTGTACAGTATATTAGGATCATCTTCCAACTCCAATGTTTAAGAATTTGGTCTTTAATTAGTAGAATCATTATGTAAACCTTTCCACTTATATGATCTGCAATAAGCATGTTTGATTGATATCCATGCACTTTCCCTACGCCTCTTCATTTAACATGGTAGCAAAGGGGATAATTGATTATTTCCCCCTATATTGAAAGGAATAGGATTATATAAAATAGCTAAGAATTGATACCGAAGAATTGACAACTACTGGCTGTGATGTAATAAAAATAAGAACAATGCAAATAAACATATATCTAGTATAAGCCTTTACTTTTCCAATTTACAAATAAACTAGCTTGATGTGCTGAAAGGACAGTCTTTGACTCTCCAGATGATTGTATCATACTATCTTTTGTTATGACCATCAACTAGGAGGATAATTTGGGAGCCCAACATAGTCTGGGGGAGTTAGAAATTTCCCACCCATAGTAGACACAATCCTCAACTTGGAGAGGAAGAACAAAGTTCAATTCCATTTCAGCAAAAAGTGGTCTTGAATGATAATAGTCATCATATTAAAGAAGACATTTACTTGAATAGGATTCACAAAAGGAGAGAAAATCTTTTTCCATTGTGTTTGCCACCTAGAGAGACTAAGGGAGATGACGTTCATGGAGATACACAAGATTTGTTACCAAAGTGATGGAAGATGTCATATGATATTTGGCGGAGGCTCAGGCAGATGCTTCATTAAATCATAGGAGTATAAGCAGGGAGAGGAGATACAGCAGAGCTAGGTTTGAAAAATTGTGTTACTATAGCGAATTTCAATCAATGTAGTTTTGGCCTTTCTGTGGAGTTGATTTCCTGGTCTGGCCTATCTATTGGAACTGACACCACCTGGAGTCTTATAACTATTTCCATTAATATTACTTTTTTTAAAAAAAAATAAGGCTATACTTTAAATGTTTAATTAAGTGATTCAGTGTATTAATTATATGTGTAATTAAATGTTTTTAATTAAGTTTTCACTTAAAGAGCCAGTTTGCTGTAGTGATTAAGATGTTGGCTTAAAAACCAAGAAACTGTAAGTTCTAATTCCACTTTAGACATGAAAAATAGGAAAAATAGGAGGAGGAAGAATTATTGTGGGCGTTAATCACCTTGAGCAATACATGAAAAAGGGTAGGATAAAAACAAAGAAAAGTGATGCATCACAAAGGAGAACACTGAATATTTGTAACACCCTCAGTTATAGAATAAGATGAAAAGAAACGGAAAAGTTTATCTCATTTTTCCATGTATTAGTCCACTTATCTATTTTATTATTCTGTTTTTTTTGAGAAGGGAACATTAGGTGGGAGTTAAGTCTTACAAATGCAGTAGTTTAAAATGTATAACAAATAAATAAAAATATGTTGGTGCATGTCAACCTCTTGTTTTGAGTGGGAGCACTAAATGTTTTTCTTTTGGCTTTCTTACAGTCTAGCTCCCGTAGCTCTCATCACCACGGGACTCGGTACCATAGCGGAGGCTGGGGAAGCAGACGTTCCAGTTGGAACAACCTTACTCGAGGACATAGCCTCAAACACAAGCCTTTTTCAGCTGAACATGAATCACTTCTATCTGGGGAGCGGCACACGATAACAGAGGCAGAAGGAGAAAGGCCAGTAATTCACCATCATCGACGTACATTTTCATTGGATACCAAAGATTCCTCTGAATTGGAATTGGCTCCAGCAGTCTCATCCGGGCACAAGCCATCATGGAAGATAGGAGTGACTCTAGGGTCAAACAAGCACCAGGACTGCAATGGTAAAATGCCCACAATCGCTAAGGATATCTTTCCAGAAATGAACAATCGGAAAGACCATGGAGAAGATGATGAAGAGATAGATTATGTAAATATTCACTCATTCATTCATTTAAATGTATTGACCACATACCTTATCACAAGGTAACTGGGTGCTTTACAATATTAAAAAGATAAAACATTACAAAACCTATAAACAATAAAAAGATAAATACTCAACTTTAAGTAAAAGATGGGAAGGGAGGTAGTGGGATGAACATGTCTGCCAACAACCTCCAATTGAAGCCCCCTCATAGGAGTCCCAGGCCAACTGGCAGAGCCAGGTTTTCTTGTGAAAAGTCAGGAAGGTTGGAACCAACCTCATTCTGGGGAGCAGGATGATCCAAAGGGCAGGTGCTGTGGCAGAGAAGGCTCTTTTCCTGGACCTGCCAGAATACCTTGGCCAATGGGGCCCGCAGCAGCATGCCTCTTCTGCTGGCCTGGGTGGGGTAGGCCAATCCCATTGGGATGAGATGGTTCTGCAATATATTTTCTATCTTTACTAAACAAAATTTTAAAATGAGAAAAAATATAATAAATGAACAGATGAAAAAGAAAAATCACAACAAAATTTTAGTGTGATTCCTTCTACAGTGATCCCGGAAGAAGATGTCACAGTAGCATCCCATTAAGGAGGAAAAGTAGATTGAGAGAGAATCCAAGCAGTTCAAGAGTCTTAAAGCAAATTATTTTACTGGAGTATTCTAGCTATTATTCATTGTTCTTCCATTCCATTCCTATGTGATAAACAATTTCATGACAGATCAGAGCAATACTTCTGAGTTCTGAATGCATCATGGCCTTATGGGTATAATCGTTGTTATGTTTTTATAACACGCAGAAGTGATTATAGTGATTATAATTAATATCTATAATGTTAGATAGTGAACAACTAAAGATCAGTACATGAATGATTTTCAGTTGGGCATGATAGATACAGAAGAAAGGGGAAAAAAGTACTGCTCAACTGCTTCTGATTTTCTGCTTCTGCCTCTACAGAGCCTGTGTTTCCGTATAAAGAAGATGATAGAGGCCTACAAGCCAGATTGGTGTGAGTTGCGGGAAGATTGGTCCATCTATTTATTCTCACCAGAAAACAAGTATGTTTCATTCACTTGTGTTTTAAAGAACGGAGATTCAAATATGGATTTATCACCCTGTCTTCAATTTTAGCGTAGAAATGATTTAACTACTTGCAGTCATACAAGACTTACTTTTCAATTGTATATTCAGGATGTGTGTGTGTGTGTGTGTGTGTGTGTGTGTGTGTGTGTGTGTGTTTGTGTGTGTGTGTGTGTGTGTGTGTGTGTGTGTGTTCCAGCATACCTTTGGAGCACCTCGAGCAATTTCAACTGAACTTGGTACACAGATGACTTACTCTCTGGAAAAAAATATTGTTGGGTACCCTTTGGGGTATGTGTTCTGTTAAGATACAGCCTGTTGTGCCTTAAAATGGCTTCTACTGTACTGCCGTAAAATGATTTCTACTGTACAGCACAGTGGACTTGCTATGGTAACGGCTTCACAGTACTCCACAAGGGGGCTCCCTCTGGTAAGGGGGAAAATCGAACATTAAAAGTTAATTTTGGTCCAGACATTTCCCCCCCTATAAATAAATACTCGGGCAACGTCAGGTTATCAGCTAGTCATACTATAAAATTAGGAACAATTGCTCCTTTTTCTTTCCCTTCCTTCTCCCCCCCTCCTTCCTCCTTTGGTCTTGCTTTTGAATTTTGTTTTCCATATTTTCCAGGTGACTCTATACTGGCATTTTATCTTAAGACCAAGTGGTGTAAAATATACATCATCATCCCATTCTCCGGATATTTTTTTTAACTTAGTATTTGGTACTTTTCCCATATTATTCTGGCTCTATTTCCCCAATGATTACAGTTTCAGCATATTCTCAAATCATATGCATTTAGGTTTATCCACTTTGAAAACCAGTTAAGATTATTTAGAGCTGTAGAATCTACTTTGGAACATTTTCTCCCACTTTCTCCTTTGAGCTCTGTCAGTATAACAGGTATGCAGGCAAGAAATTTGTTTTTTTCTGCATAATCACACAGTATCTATTTTTAAACATGCATTTCTGTCCTTATTAAGTAGAGATGCATATACTTGCCATATTTAACAACATCATGACTGCCCACTTCATGGATAATCACAGCAGTGTGTTGTGACTTGTGGCATGGTGCTTAAGGAATAAATACAAAATCCTTAACCTTTCAAAATGTTCCTACATCTCCCAAATTACAAAAATATGCATTGGTTATCACATTATAAAAACTGCATTCATAAACATGTGGTTGCCACACAATAGTTGCATTTGAGAAAATACAGGCTCCTACAACATGCCCTGAGCAAATAATATTGCAATTCAATAGAAAGTCTTACAGAAACGAAGGAATCGATTCTTGCTTTTAAAATGCAAGTTGATTGCTCAGTTATGTACTGTCAATTAAACGGGAGAAAATAACTACAGGTAGTCCTCAGTTTACAACAGTTTGTTTAGTGACTGTTCAAAATTACCACAACATTGAAAAATGACTTATGACCATTTTTCACATTAACAACCATTGCAGCATCCCCATGGACACATGTTCAAAATTGAGATGTTTGGCAGCATGATCATCTTTTTCAACCTTCTGACAAGCAAAGACAATGGGGAAGCCAGAGTCACTTAACAACCATGTTGCTAACTGAACAGCTGCATTGATTCACTTAACAGCTGTGGCAAGAAATATCATACAATGGGGCAAAATTAGCAACGAAAATTTTGGCCTCAATTCTGCTGAATTGAGGAAGTTGAAGACTGTCCATAACTCTTTCTATTTTCCAATTTTGATTAACATGCAAAGTTTAATGTTGCACCCTTTCCCATCCCATTTGCCCTTCTTCCTTTAAATCTTCCAGGTGTCTCTTGTCTCTGTCAACCATTTATACACAAATTTTTCTAGTCAAAGACTGGAATTTTTTTTTTTAGGCCATTGAGAATGAAGTGATGTTTGTAAGGATGGGATGATATCACCAAGAGGAGCTTGTTCACTATAAAATAGTGTATTAAACCTTTTAGGGATGAAACAAATGTTTGAAGAGGATGTGTTTGAAAACTGGTGGGTTTGCCACCAAATTTTGTTAATGTGAACTGGGATGCATGGGGAGGCCTGCTATGACCATGATGTGTCCATTGTACATATATTCATAGATAACCTTTTATAGTTTAGAACAAACTGTCTTCCAGATTTCGCATTCTCTGCCAAACTATCATTGCTCACAAGCTATTTGATTATATCGTCCTGGCCTTCATTTTCTTGAACTGTGTTACTATTGCCTTGGAGAGACCTGAGATTGAACAGAGGAGCACAGTGAGTAGCTTTGTGTAATAATGAGTAGACTTGTAATTTTAAGAGTTAGAAACTCATAAATGCTTTCTTCAGCCTTTAAATAGTACTGTACACCATAACTGGGTTTAATTCTAAGAATTCACTTTATGCTGTTCTGAAATATCCAGAGACATTTGTTTCAGAGAGTAATAAAGATCATAGGGATATAAATAGTATTCTTGAATCTATTCATAGTTAAGGTATGTAGGATAGTGACTGGACTCCCATAAAGATAGATCTGAAAGATGAGGAAGGCCATCTCCTTGTGCATGCCTGCGTAGTGTGACCAAAAGGGTATAATAATACAGATATATTTGTGTTTGTATTTTTAAAGATATTTGTGTCCCAAATAAGAAAAAAAAATACTTTAGTTGCTGGTTGATACAAATACATTTCTGCCTAAAAGGAATTTAATTGTATGATTACACAGGGGAAGAACAAAGCAAATTATTTAAAATGCTGGGTTGGGAGATGCTTTTGAGACAACATATCCAAATACACTATATTTTCAATCATAGCAATTCTTTACCTTAACGTAAGCACCATTTCCCCAAGCCCGTTGCAATAATTTAAATGGAAAGTTACTTATATCTATTTTGAGGCTGCCTTTGATTGTTCTAGGAGAGAATCTTCCTCACGGTGTCCAATTACATCTTCACAGCAATCTTTGTTGCTGAGATGACACTGAAGGTAAGTTACCCACTGCCAAGTCATTCTTGCTGTGCTGACTCAACTAATACCTTAAGTGGAAAAGGAGTGCCATTTTCACAATTATTTTCAACGGATGGTGTCACAGAATTTTTCAGTGCTGTGAAAAGGGAAAAACATTCTGTTGAGAAAGGATTACCTTCATTATGAATTGGCTTTGTTTGCACTCATTTCAACAGATAGAGAAATAGATTTAGTAGTTGTTTAACTACTGTTATCAAGTTCATTACATGATTCCCAATTAGCTAAAATTAATTTGGAAAAAAGCCCTTGGCGGGGGAAAAAAGCCAGATCTTTGGACGGAAAGAAGTTAAAAGCTTGCACATTTCATTGATGCTTCTTTCCAATTATTTATTCTTCTTTGGATGAGAGAAAATCCATTTCAATCCAAAAATAAAAATGAATAAATATTTAGCATGGCCTTGGAGCTTCTTTTTTCAATTTCCTTCTTCAGACTGAATCTGTAAACATTTCATATCTACTCTTACTTATCTAAAACGAATAATCATCTGTATGTGGATGAAAAGTTCTGTACAATAACAGGGAATAGATGTCATCAGTATCTTGAAGTTGTTTAATAACTTTATACAAGATATTTCTTGGAGGAACTAGCCAAAGCTTCCAATTCTGATTGCTCTTTTTCTCAAAATTTATTCTGCTGAAAGAGATAAACAGCATGTTGGCGCAGTTGGTTATTGTATTTACATTAATTTTTTACATGTCATTATTACAATGAATTCTGTGACCTAATTAATCCATTTTTGAGGAACAAGAAGTGTACCTCACTAAAGGTGTGATTTAGCTTTACTGATTCATTTTTTCATTTCACATGCTCATATGGTCCTTAATCTTCTCTAGGTAGTCTCTCTTGGTCTGTATTTTGGAGAACAGGCCTACCTACGCAGTAGTTGGAATATCTTGGATGGCTTTTTGGTGTTTGTATCCATTATTGATATCGTAGTTTCGGTAGCCTCTGCTGGAGGAGCCAAAATCCTAGGAGTGCTAAGAGTCCTCCGACTTCTGCGCACTTTACGCCCCCTGAGGTAAGATCCAAGAAAATAGATCTCACCTATATAATAACCCTGCATTTTGTTTTCGCTCATGTGTTTGGCCAAATAAAAGAATTTAGTAAGGTAAAGCCTCTTTCAAACAAACTCAGCTCCTAGTGTTTTCTTGGACGTAGACAGGGCTTTCTTGCCAACAATAGAAAAATGAGATACCATTGCCTTCTTCAGAGGTGTTTACCTCAACTCCTAATCTAATCTATGAATTTTCTGGTTATCCCCATCTCCATATTAGGGAAATTTGACTCTGCTTCAGATTTTTAGAGCAGCCAAGGTTGACTAGTGTAAGGACTATGAAAAAAAAGTCAGTCACTGTTTGAAATTAAGGCAATAAAGTTTATTTACTGTATTGATTAATTAATTAAATGTGCATGCCACCCATCTCACCAGAGGTGACTCCAGACATTCAATTAAAATGCACTAAAACATTAAAGCAATAAATAAAGATCATAAATTGAAATTGAAATTGAAATAAAACTAACCAGGATGGAGTGGGATCAAAGTGCATACAGGGTGGAAGTCAGGTGTCATTTACTCCAAAATGCCACCTCCAAAATGTTGTATCCCATTGGGGCCCCAGGCTAGGTGGCACATACATATCTTCAAGGTCTTTCAAGAAAGTGAAAAGAGAGAGTACAGATCTCCCCTCAGAGGGCAGACTGTTCCAGAGGGTAGGAGTCACAGCAGAAAAGGTTCTTCTTCTGGAGCCCACCAGGTGAAATTATTTCTCTGATGGGCTCCATAGCATTCTACCAGCCTGGGTGGGATGGGCTGATCGCATCAGGATTTAATTTAAGGTAAAGCTCTTAAAAGAAAAAAAATATTAGTTCTCCTATGTTCATAAATATTGTCATTTGCAGAACATCTCTTTTCAGTGATTGTGAATATATTTAATTATTGTTCAGTTTGATGGGTAGGGGGGGGGAGATTGCTTGGTAAAAATCAATTTCCAAAGGAAATTCCATGAAACTTGTTAATTCTCTTTAAAGTTATTTATTTAAAAATATTTGGAATACTGTGCAATATAACTTTGAATTAGGGGGTTTCCAATTTTCTCTAGGTAGATTGCTTGTATTATTTTTTTAACACCTGGATGTATTATTACTATGAATAAATTCATTGATTAACTTTTACCACTTTATTACATGTTGTGTTTGGATGTTTGCCCAGCAACATTTGAAATAAAGACAATAACTTAGAAAGTATTGTCATTTTTATTGCTGGCCCCAAATATTAACTTTAGACTTTCCCACGTTCATGTAATTCAATTACAATATCAGATAATGAAAGGAAGAGAGGCCACCCTGCCTTATGCCCTTAACTAAATCCATCTTTTCTAACTTAACATTACTTGTATAAGTTGTAGCTGTTGCTTCTGCATCTATTCAATTAATAGTAGTAGTAGTTAGACTTATATACCGCTTCATAGGGCTTTCAGCCCTCTCTAAGCGGTTTACAGAGTCAGCATATTGCCCCCAACAACAATCCGGGTCCTCATTTTACCCACCTCGGAAGGATGGAAGACTGAGTCAACCCTGAGCCGGTGAGATTTGAACAGCCGAACTGCAGAACTGCAGTCAGCTGAAGTAGCCTGCAGTGCTGCATTTAACCACTGTGCCACCTCATTAAGAATGATAATCTTAACAGTTGGCATAAGTAACAGCAATTTAAAGAACGGAGTATTTTAAAAAAATATCCAGTGCAAACAATAAGACAAGCATTTGGGGGTAGGGATAAAAAAATAAATTACCTTGAATCTTTCCTTTATAAAAGTGGATGTGATGAAGGCTTGGATTGTTCTTAACATTAGTGCCAAGAGGGTTTTTGCATCCAACCATGCTTCTAACCATGTTTCTTAAACCCATGTCGTGTCTAAGGACAATTATTCTCATTTTTTTCAATATATTAAGCAATTTGCTTCCATTTAAGATGAAACATATGGGGACGGGAGGACTCTTCCTTGAATTCTTTAAAATTCATTGGTAGAACATTTTTCTCCAGGACTCTTGCCTACATTTTCTTATTTTTTTTTTTTTTTTTTTTCCCCCCCCCCTGAATCTCAGTGATGTTCCTGTTATAGAAGTGTTGGTGTGATATTTCAAAGAAATATTTCTATCCTATCATGGCGTGTTATTTTAAGTTGCTGTAAAGAAACAGCTTTTTAAATAATTATGTTTTCCATTATCTTTTGACACGTCAGCATCCACAACAGGGGTCAATACAGGCAAGATACCAGATGTGGTATCACAAGCCAAGAATCATACATACAAATATAGGAGGGGTTAGGCTTGGATTGCTATGCTGCCATCCTACCTATTTTGACCATGGAGATGAAGGCTTGAATTTTGTTCACCTCTGCTAGTCACCAATAATTATTCTCATTGGGTTATAATGGTCTCTGACCTGGTTGTTTTCCTACAGATATTTCATTACCAGACTACGTAAGATCATCAGTAGATGTTAGAGTGAAATTTTCTGTTTGTTTATACCGTATGCTTGCCTTGATAATCTTGGTTGCACTAATGATGTTACATGGCCTGATAATGCCGCATAATGGAGTGAGCTCCCATTACTTGTGCCAGCTTCTGCCAACCTAGCAGTTCGAAAGCATGTACAAATGTAAGTAGAAAAATAGGAACCACCTTTGGTGGGAAGGTAACAGCGTTCTGTGTGCCTTCGGCATTTAGTCATGCCAGCCACATGACCACGGAGACGTGTTCAGACACCACTGGCTTTGAAACAGAGATGAGCATCACCCCCTAGAGTTGGGAACGACTAGCACATATGTGCGAGGGGAACCTTTACCTTAGTGTGATAACAAAATGTCTGCAAGAAAAAAGCCAAGCTTAGAGAACCAATCATTTAACACACAAGTATGGCTATTATCTTTTGCCTTCAGAGTAATCAGTTGATTGTTTTATTATTGATCTATTTATAAACTTTCAACCAGGGAATGACTCAAATAAGTGGCAAAAAGATGAAATGGTGCATCAGTGGAATAATTAATAAAGAAATAAAGCCCAGCACAAAAATAGGTAGCTCTGGGAGAAAGAATAGCAATTAAAAAACAGTATTCCTGCCAAGTTTCAAGCCAGAAGTATTTAGCATCTAAGGCAAAGCATTACACTCATTAAGTGAGTAAGAAGACCTTTTGTAACATACCCAGCAGCAACTATTATTCAGGAAAAGTAAGAAATGCATGGGGAACAGGTATCCCTACCTTTACAAAGTAGCCAAGGTGTTGGCCTATTAAATGCTTTGAGCCACCAGCTGCAGGAAAACACTATAAGTAGTACTCAGGTTACAACAGCAATTGTGACCAACAATTCAGTCACATGAGTGACATGATCTAAGGCAGGGGTGTCAAACTTGAGTTCATTGAGGGCTGCATCAGGGTTGTGTTTGACCACAGAGGCTGGGTGGGTGTGGCCAGGGTAGGCATGGCCAGCTCAACATCACTTGATGCACCTCTCCCAGGATCCATTTTCGGCTGTGACGGCCTCCTGCAGTGATCTGCCAGTGAAAATGGAGCTCAGGAGGGCTGTACATGACCCTCCCAAGCTCTGTTTTTGCTGGCAGAACACAGCCAGAGGGCGTTGCAGCCCAAAATGGAGAGTGGGAGGGCTGTGTGTGGCCCTCCTGAGCTCTAATTCAGCTGGCAGAGGCACCATGGGCCTGTCCTTCACTGTTTCCAGGATGGTCCCACGGGCCAGATCTAAGCATCCTGTGGGCCTTGAGTTTGACACTCCTGGTTTAAGGCATGATGTCACATAATTGTATTGTTTAGGGACAGCCATTCCTGTAGTCCAAATTGCTATGGTTAAACAAGGATCTCACATGAAGGCAACATCTTCATGGGGCTGCCCTTGAAGAGCACCCGGAAGCTTTAACTGGTCCAGAATGCGGCTGCGCGGGTTGTCATGGGGCACCCAGGTACTCCCATGTTACACCCCTTTTAGGCGGCCTGCACTGGTTGCCAGTTGTCTTCTGGGTGCGATTCAAGGTACTAATTATGACCTTTAAAGCGCTCCATGGCTTAGGCCCAGGGTACCTGCGAGACCACCTACTTCCACCAGTAGCCTCCCATCGTCCAGTGCGATCCCACAGAGTTGGCCTCCTCAGGGTGCCGTCGGCCAGACAGTGTCAGCTAGTGACCCCCAGGGGGAGAGCCTTCTCTGTGGGAGCACCTTCCCTCTGGAATGAGCTGCCCCCGGAGCTTCGTATAATCCCCGACCTCCGGTCCTTCCGACACGCCTTAAAAAGTTGGCTTTTCCAGCAAGCCAGCCTGGCCTGAACAAAACAAAACAAATTATTGATTACTGTTAATTTTAATTTTAATTCTTTTTAAAAAATGTCATTGTCAATTTTAATTGGGTTTGGGATATCCTATTTAATTTCTTTTTAACTTTTGTATTATGTGTTTCTTTTAATGTTGTATGCCGCCCTGAGTCCTTGGGAGAAGGGCGGCATATAAATCGAAGAAACCTAACCATCTGACGTCTTGCAGCCTTCTCCATTGATTTTGCTTTTGGGAAGCTGTCAAGGAACATCAGATATCATGATCATATGATTGAGGGAAGCTGAAACTTCAAGATCCCATTTTATTTCCCCATTATTTATGGCTATAGCATGAATATTCCTCACTCAAGGACTACCTGTGGACCAGAAAATTTATGCAGAGGTCATATCATACTTGGAGAAAAAATAGCTTTTAAAAGTAATTTCCTTCATAGACATTAAATCCCTTAATTCTTTAGTTACTTTTTTCTACTTTTGAGAGAGATTACTACCTGGTAAGTTGCTTAAAGTTTAACTTTTGGTCTGATTTGTTAAGGCGAGATCTCCCAAGCCAACCATCTTGCAGAACTGCAAAGCAAACTTTCTTGGTATGATACTTCTCATGGAAAGTGAAGTATTGGGTTCTATCCTATAGCTCTCACAGTGCTCCTTTCTCAGGGTCATCAGCCGTGCTCCAGGTTTGAAGCTGGTGGTTGAAACTCTCATTTCATCACTCAAGCCTATTGGAAATATTGTCCTCATCTGCTGTGCTTTCTTTATCATCTTTGGAATTCTTGGAGTGCAGGTATGGTATCAACTAATATACAAAAGTATTGTAGGCATATACAGTATTTGTTGTTATTAATGGGGTGTTTGTTTGTTTTACAATGTCAAATGCTTTTGAAAAGTATGGTTTGAAATGGATTTCCCCAACTTGGTAGTGTTGGGATTCTAGTTCTCCCAGTTCTTAGCTTTAGTCTTTCTTTGTCAGGCATGAAAGATCAAGGCATTAGCAAGACTATGCATCATGCCTATCAGTGGTGGGATTCAGCCAGTTCACACCTATTCGGGAGATCCGGTTGTTGGAAGAAATCTTCTTTTGGTTTTTTTCCGCTTTATAGTGCTAATCCTGTAAGGAAGGCAGGAAGGAAACATTCTGGTGTTGTTTCTAGCTTAATCTTTATAGCCCTGCTTACAAAACTGCCTCTCCGGTTAATCCTTGTTACATGGTAACAGCTAAGGCAAAGTGCCCACTGACCTGAGTAATGTTAAGTTGGCCATGCCCACATGGTCACATGACCACTAAGTCCCGCTTACCCACCTGGTCATTAGGACAGAGAACCGGTTGTTAAATTATTTGAATCCCACCACTGATGCCTATGCATAGAAATCTTCTCAAGCAATGGCTAGCACCTCCTTGGAGTTAGATAAGGATCCATAAAATTTAAAGGGGGTTGGACTTACCGGTAGTTCACTTGTGGCTACATAGAGGTTCTAGGCTGATCTCTCTTTTAACTTAACCCCCAGTCCTGCCACTCCTACATTCTTAGGGTTAGAATGTATGAATAGAGTTCCATTTCTGGGCTGCCCCTGTTTCCCCAACCTAACATTTATTAGTAATCAATATGTCCAATTTCCCACATGTAACAATAGTTCAAAGTCGACACAGTACATATATGTCAAAAGAGATGCTGCAAGCTTTTCTCTATCTTTGGAGTAGCATTATTATAGACTATTTTCTTTCTGTCTTAATACAAAGGTGGATCTCTAACAGCGGTTGGAGAATAATGTGGCCTAAAAAAAGGACAACAGGGAAAAAAAACTCTTGGAAGTGAACCGGGTCCATTATTTTAATGGCTTTTACTTCTTGATCTTTTTCCCATGTGCTGTGGAAAAGGAACAGGTTTCAAACTAACAAGATATTAGGGTCTGGATTTTGAACCACAATAAGATGTAGTTGGATGATAGGACTCAATGCTGAAATGATGTCTGGTCAGAGATGAGATGCCTTGAGACAATCATTTTTTTAAAAAACTTTTCTTATTTCTCTGACTCCCTTCCCCCCTCCATTTCAAGCATCCTCCAACAGCTGTTTAGAGATGGAAAGAAATGGTATTCTCTTTATTTTGGTCTACTTCTATAAGAGTGGGTAATGCTTCTATCTTTATATAAAATATACTAGTCTGTATTGCCAATTTCAAGAAGGGAATAATCTCAAAATGTACTGTATAAGACATGCAGCAAGTAGTTGTTCTCCTTACAACATAGTTTTTATGGGTTTTCATCCATAAAGGGTGGGCATATGCTTCAATTTGGCCTTCTGGCAGTGAAAGGACTACAACCAATTTCCTTTGGTCTTTTATTTATTTAAATATAAAATATTGTTATTGAAGTTTGCTGGATAAAGATGGGAACAGGAGGACTCTATGAGGCAAACTGCTCCTATTCTCAATTTTTTAATCCCCCCAGGTCATTGCCAAATTACTGTTCTGTGGTGGAATTTAGGCTATGTTTTTGGAATTAGGAGTGGAGAATAGTAATTTCCCTGTTAGAGGCCTTCCTTTTCCATTCCCAGCTGAGTACGCCAAACAAATGTAAGAAAAATGACCTGAAATCAATTCAAACATATAACAAACATATAACACCAATCTCCCGCCCCTCCTTTTTTTTTACAACACTGTAATCCCTGTAGAGTTGGAGCAATTGGATGGAGCTAAGCTGACTGGATGCTTTTCCTGACACAATGCAGCAGATATTTTTTCTTTGCACTCTAGTAGGGAAACATCTGCCATTACGTAGAACTGAACTCTTAACCTTCTTAGTGGGAGGCGAGCATCTTCACCATTAGGTCACCATGTTGTTCATATAGCAATCTCTTATCCTTTTATTCTTTCAATGTCTGACAAAATCCCTTTTTCTTATAGCTTTTCAAAGGAAAATTCTACCATTGCCTGGGTGTTGATATCCGAAATATCACAAATAGGTCTGACTGCATGGCTGCCAATTACAAATGGGTCCATCAAAAATACAACTTTGACAATCTGGGCCAGGTAAATATAGACTCCTCCAAAGTATATTAGACCTGCTTAAGAGTCATCTGTAGCAGGGCTGTACCTTCAAATATTTACATAGATGCCTTCACAAATTCCTAATCGTAGTATTATTTTGCTTAGGTTATCTTCAAATTATTTCTTCTTACATTGGTAGAAAATGAGAGTTCTTGGTAGAGGCCAGTTAATGAGAATGACAAAGAGGCATTGTTAAACACTTCTCTTAATTTCAATAGAAAATATTTATGTATGTAGGTGTTTAGTATGTTAATTTTCTTCAGCCACAATCCTTCAGCCACATTTTTCCTTGGTCAAAATGCAATATGATAATCAATATTTTTGTTATTAAAGGAGTATAGCAACCCAGTTAAATAAATAATCAACATATTAGCTTCATATTGTACATAGTGGCCATGTAAATAGTGCTTAACTTTGTCTTAAATCAGGCCTAAATTATATTGGATACAGTATTTAAATGGATCAAAAAAGTGACCTATGACTTGTTCATATAACAATGGTTCAACCTTGCAACTAAGAATGACATATGATGATTCTTCCAAGCTGAGTGCTTCTTTTTTTGTTTCACACCTGTGGACAAAATATTGTCAAACTGAACACTCAACTATCTGCAATATATTTGGTGAATTTTTTAGAGAAGGACTCTCTTTACCCTCTTTCTCTCACACATAGTATCTGGACTAAATTGCATTTTACTCCTCTGGAATGCACCCCCTCCCTCCTAGGAATCCACCTCCTTATTACACTCTATCACATATACATACGTAGTTTATCCACATCTTTCTGATTGCCATTTAATTTATCTTATATGTATTCTGTTTAATTATTTATACTACACTACATTCAGAAACCTGCTAGCAATTTTCAAATGTAAAAAAAAATGAGTCAGGTGTGGGGGAAACAGCTATATAGGAATATCAGGGTAGGACGTTGAGAGTTGGCGGTTTAGGCAAGATATTAAGAAACACCTTTTTCTGGAAAAGAATTGCTGAGGAATGGACATGTTTGCTCAGGAAAACTGCTAAGTTTTAGGATATAGGGACCTTTAAAAGAATAAACTCTGGGGTTTTTTATATGGGATGCTTTATATTTCTGATTCATTTATTCCCTGTTTATATACACAATAAATTAACAGAATTCATTAGCATCTTTATATGTTTTCTTAATGGATACGCTGTGTGGTGGAGTTGGTGAAGAAACTGTACAGAGTACTGTAATTTTTATCTTTTAAAAAGCATAAAACTATGTGACAATCTCATATATTTCAGGCTTTGATGTCACTCTTTGTTCTGGCTTCCAAAGATGGCTGGGTTAATATTATGTACAATGGATTGGATGCTGTGGCTGTGGATCAACAGGTAGAGAAGATACCTCACACCTTCATCTTTCAGATTGTTTTGAACTGAATTGTTAGGCAGACTGGATGGCCTGCCATGTCATGCCATACCCTACCCTACCCTACCATAGCCTACCATACCATACCATACCATACCATATCATACCATAATGATTCAGAATCAGAGAACGCACACATATATGTACTGTATGTACATTATTATGTTGGTCCTTCCCCTTCTCCCATTTGGGCATAACTTTTCTAATTTGTTGTGAATACCACTGTTGTACCAGAAGCAGATTATCTTTCAGGTAACTAACAAGGATAAAATGTCAAATGCTTCCCCCCCCCTTTATTTGTTTGATAAAAATGTGAGGTGACCATTGTCTTCTTTACCTCCTAGTGGTCTTACGGTTGTGACATACAGTATGTTTTGGAAGCTCATGATATGATCTTCTGATTTCTACCCTCTGGCAGTGGTTTCCATCCTAAAAAAGTTCTCATGGCTGACAGCTACAATCTAATGCTTTTCCTGTTCAGTTTAATAACAGGAGAGCACTTTCTAAAACAGATGGTGGCTGCATAGGACCAGACAGTCTTGATGATATATTACACCCACACTGTGATCTCTGTTCTTTTCACAAAGCAACATGGTTTTATTTCTGACAGGCCTTTTGAAAGAACTATTTACTAGTCCAGCCTCCCAATAGTTACAAGGATGTTTATTTACATTTATAAATAAACAAATGTTTATTTACATAGGGGAATATACAAATATGAAGACACTGGAAAAACTGCATGTTTGATGAAATAAAAGTTTCTCTGTAGATTTAAAGACTTTCCAATCCGAGAGTTAATTTGTTTCATATTAATTTGTTTAATGATATACAATAACTTTTTTTAGAGGGAAGATGTTTAGACATGTTACTATTAGATGGGTGCAGAGCTGGTTGAACAATTGTAACTGATTGTTATATTTCCAGCTCCTGATCAGTCTGGGAGGAAACATTGGGACCCATTCAGTTCTGTATGAGCTGGCTGAGAGTTTAGAAAATACAGTAGTCAGATGTGCAGATGACACATGGATGTAGGAGATACAAAGGACAGAGGATAGCGTTGGAACAGTGGGCAGAAACCAGCAAAAAAGAACAGTGTCCTTAATTTGGGTAGGAAAAATCAAAGGCCACAGGAAGTGGTCTTGGTGAATCACAAGTTGAACATGAGCTAATAGTGTGATGTAGATTCCCAAACAAATAGTTTTAATGATTATATTATTATAATTATACTATGTCTGTGTTGATAATATTACTATTGGCAAGTCTGATCATTTTGATAGTTATTTCTTTCTTATACTATCCTGTATGTATTGTATGTTATATTATGTCATTTTGAATCATATGATTGAAAAGGCGTAGATGCATTTGTAAGAGATAAATGAAGAACATTACCCCAGGCTACATGCAATAACAGGTGGTCCTCATTTGATGACTACTTGTTCAGCAACTGTTTCAACTTGCAAAGGTGCTCAATGAGTGATACTTATGACTGGTCTTTCAATTTATGGCCATGACAGCATCACTATCACCATCATGTGAGCATGATGAAGACACTTAAATGTTGGCCAAGATTTCTGACTCTCACAGCATCCNCAGTCCCAGTTGTCGCTAAACAAGAACTACCTGCATGGTGATTCAACTAAGCAAATATGCATTAGTTTCAGTCTCTTTCATTCTACAATTCAGGATAAGAAACTCTATTTAAGTAATTAGCATTTGTTCCCTAGATTCTTTGATCCATTTAGGCCCCATTGAACAGTGTTTTTACAGCATTAACTCTGCTGCTATTTTCCTTATTCTGATTCTCTTTTTCTCTCTTGGATTGGGTGTTCTTTTCACTAAGAGTCCATGGATTTTGTTGTCAAAGTAAATCCTAACAAAAAATAATAATAGCCTTTAGTTTTGTGTCATATATTTAAAATTCTCAGAATTTGATTTATTTTGATGAGCACATGCCAGGGAATAGTTGCTGAGGACATCATTTTCTCCCCAGAAGCTTTGCCAATGCTTGCATCCACTATATGAATTTCAATCTTACTTAGATAATGAAGTTATTTTAATTCCTCTACCAGATGAGGCAAACTATTAATATTAACTAATGTTGTATTTAAGAAAATCAGTTTGGTATAGTGGGGGTAGCACCAAGCTAGAAACTGGGAGACCATGAGTTCTAGTTCTGCCTTAGGTATAAATCCAACTAGATGAATTTGGGCCATCACTTTCTTTAGCCCTAAGAAAGAGACAATGACAAACCACTGCCAAAATCTCTCCAAGAAAATTGCAGGAACTTTCCAGCAATTGTGACAGTCAACACTAACTCAAAGGAACCAGAAAAATGCTGCATTTACCTAAAAGGAAGAGAACCTTGAATTTAAGATAATAATCATAAAAGAAAGAATACATAGAAAAGCAGACAGATTTATAAATGCAGACAGAAATTCTGAGCAACGTTTGTTTGCTTCACTTTGTCAAACTAGAGTGCCATCTCCAGCTAAAATCAGTTTTAGAGATTCCTTCTCCTTATAAATAAGCACAGGTAACTGGCTAGGTAAGGAAAGGAAAGAAAAAACAGCCATTTTAAGGGTTAGAAATGATACATTTGCCAAATAAGCAACTGTTCTAAGGCAAAGGTGATGTTTCATTTACTCTTGTCCCAAAGAAAGGAGCTTGTTTGTGAACTTGTCAGATAATGTACCTCCGTATGCATGAGAGAAAATAGAACGGTAGTCAACATAAAGTCCTTGTATGGTCTTACTACTTGTCTGCATTACATTGACACACAGTTTATGCTTTTCTAGCCAGATACATTTGGGATATGTTGGGACTTTCCCCCAAGGAGCAGAAGTTCTACCCCATATGAAAGGCACCAAATAGGTGAAACCAGGTCTAATACAGGGCACTTGTAGACTTGGCCTATGAGAGTCTAAATGGTCACAAAGTCACTCTTTTTTCATGATGAAAATAGGGACTGCCACACAATTTACAAGTGAGACAATTGTGGTATAGTATTCCCTATTTCAGAATTGTCAATGTTTAAAAAAGAATTCTTTTTGATGAAGTAATCATCAAATTACTGCCTTTTTATAGAGAATTATTTGCCCACCATCATTTTAAAAATTATCTTTGAATGATACCAAACTATAACAATACATAAAGATTGCCATTCCCCAAATGTCTCTGTGAAGGACTCCATAGATATGTTGGCTACCTATGATCACATTGCTCATAAAATCACACAAAGTTTATTCCACTGTAATGTTGTAATAATTTCACATGACAGATAATATACATGTAGCCTATATTCCCAAATTTAATGTGTTCTAGATGTTATGGGATTACAAGTCCCAAAAGTTGCACTGGCCATGCTTGTTGAATTACTGATAGTTACAGTTCCACTCGTTCATGAGGGTATCAGGTTGGAAATGATTATCTGTCCCTTTTTTTTCCAGGAAGACTTTTAAAAGTGACTTCAGTGTTGTTAAGGGCGGTGGGAGTAGAAATGTATGATTCCTTTTATTGTATGCTACCCAGAGTTGCTATAGAATTGGATGACCTTGCAAATTTCTAAAAGGGAGGGAAGGACATTGTTCTGAGTAATGCATAAAATTGCATTGCCAAAGAACTGAACTGTGATATTAGAAATAGCAATAGATTCTCCAAAAACCTTGTATTATCTTAAAAACAACTAGAGGAGCTGGTTTGCAACCATTGTGTTGAAGACAGGGATTAACTATTTTCTGCCTTATTATTCACCTGATAAAAAGCATTCACATATCACACAAGACACAACTCCTGTTAGATATGGATTAAAAGATATGCAGATACCTAGAACTATTATACCTGGATATTTAGAATATGCAGATTCAGTGGCCAATACTGTAGCAGTTACTGTATAGAGAATAGATATTTCCATTTCTGTTGTAGAAATAAAGGAAGGAGACATAGAAAGGCTTAAACAGATTTTTCTCAGGGACTGCAATTTCAATTCTAATTGTTTCCAATCTTCTTATATATTGTAGGAAGTTAAAACCCGCTCCTCTCCTAGAAAATGAAATATTTTAGGAAATATTAAAAGGCAGAAGATTTCCTCTAAAAGGGAGGAAAAAACAGCTGTCCCCCACTTTTGTCAATGGGCCATTAAGGTCTGAGCAAGTCTATTCTACATAACAAAGATCTACCCCCTTCAGGCAGATCCATCTAGCAAACAGAAACTCACCATAAGTTACCTGGGTAAATTACATCAGCCAGCAAGGCANATGCTTATATGAATAAGTTTAAAACAGCCTAAATAAATATATGAATACTTATACAAATATTGCAAGATTTATACCATTATAAAAATAAGATGCAGTTTAATATCAAATACCTTTATCTGTTAGCATTAAAAGGTTTGCATTGCAGCAAATTGGGTAAGATATCTTTCTTAATTGCTACCTTTTTGTCCCACCCATCTACAAATTCAAGAAAGTTCATTATCTAGTGGGGAATTACCTGAGATACCTTTTATCTAGCATCTTTTTAAATATTCTGTTGACCTTGTATGAAATCACAAGAGCAAATGTATATTCCTGGGCCTAGCATTCATTAGTTTATGCTGCATAGTTTATTATCTCCTTCCTTATTAAATCCATCAAATTGTTAACTATGGAAGACAAATGTTTTTACCTTCCTGTCACAGCATTTCTTTAGTGGAATGCTTATAAAAAGCTTTAATTATCCAATCCTTTGGGGTGAGCTTCAATAGCTTCATACAAGTTGACTAACTTTGAAAAAATCCTCTAAATGCTATAGAGAATGAAGTTCTCAGCTTTTTCAAACACATTTTCCCTTTGGGAATGCAATATGACTCATTTCCAGATGAATATGATGAATTCTCATTCATCAATTTTTGTGTAATTTGCATAATAAGAGATGCAATTTGCACAGAACTATATCTAATGCACTAACCATAAGCCTTCCAGATGTG